AATGAAAATGGTGGCCTCCCAATCTCTGGCCCCAGAGCTGAATGCTTGGGGCCCCATTCCTCAGTGAGCCTTCAGTGAAAGCAGTCAATTAATCCTGTCTCCCTGGTCTCCGGCCACACTCAGTGCTCACCCAGCCTGTGACCGAGCGTTTCTATCTCAGGCATGCGACCCTGCTTTGAGTCTCCAAACCCTGCAGATCCTGTGCCACTCCTCCTGGGGGAGGAAGGGGGGGGTCTCACCTGTTCTGCTGCTTGTTGGGCCCCTGCTTGGAGATTAGTCGCCCAATTGTGCTGTGGATCACGGTTTATGGCAACCCTGAGCTGAGAGCCCACTTCTGGGCTCACTGTTTGCAGCTGGCTTCCCTGCTCCGATATCTGGGAGCTTGCCTCACTCAGGTTCCCCCAGTCTTCTGTGACCCTGAGGATCCTGAGACCACATTGTCCCAGAGAGGGTTCTACCCCCGCTTAGCTGCCTGAGCAATGTCTCAAATGGGAGCAGACTTCTAAAAGTTACGATTTTTGTGCTCCATTGCTCTCTTACTTGCCGGGAGCCGGCTGATGGAGGCTCCCGATCCCCCACGGTCTGTCTTCTCATATATTGCCTTAGATTCACTTCTCCATGCTCTTACCTTGCAGAAAGTGGTCACTTTTCTGTTCATAGAATTTCTGCTATTTTCTTTGATCTCCGATGGAGTTCGCAGGTGTTCAGAATGACTTGATAGCTATCTAGCTGAATTCCCAGGATCAGACGAAATTAAGGTCTCCTACTCCTCCACCATCTTGGACTCCTCTTTCTCCTAAAAAAAAGTGGTTGAATGTAATTTTCAGTTTGCTTTTGAATTTAGATGCAACCAAACCTCCACTCTCAGCTATGCATTAAATGACAGTGGTCATTGCCTCCTTTTTCATCTTAGTCTGAAATAAGGGTGCTGGACCCAGAGCTGATAGCCCTGCTTGAGTCCAAGCAATTCAGGCAACCGAGAGGGTGTCTACAATGTAGTAATTTTGTATCCAGCAACTTTGATTAATTTGTTTGTTCATTTTGTTTTTTTTCCCCCGGGGAATCTTTAGTTTTCTACATATAAAATGTTATCTGCAGACAGATCATTTTGCTTCATCATTTCTGATTTGTATGTCTTTTCTTTTTTCTTGTCTAATTGCTCTGGCTAGGACTTCTAGTACTGTGCTAGGACAGAAAGAGACAGTGAGAGAGGGAACACAAGCAGGAGGAGAGGGAGAAGCAGGCTTTCTGCCGAGCAGGGAGCCCGATGCGGGGCTCGATCCCAGGACCCTGGGATCAAGACCTGAGCCGAAGGCAGACGCTTAATGACTGAGCCACCCAGGTGCCCCTGTATAATTCTTTTAAATGTTGAGTTAGGTTTGCCAGTATTTTGAGTATTTTTGTATCAGTATTTATATGGGATATTGATCTGTACCTTTATTTTCTGTCTTTGGCTTTGGCATTAAGGTAATGGTGGACCTTCCAACACTTAGGAAGTGTTTCAGCCTCTTTAATTTTTTTGGAAGAGTTTGAGAGGGATTGGTGTTTAATCCTTCTTGAAATGTTTGGTAGAATTCACTGGTGAAGCCATCTGTTACTGATTAGTCTTATAGGTTGCTGTTTCTAGGAGTTGTTCATTTCATCTAGGTTATCCAATTTGGTGTAGAATTGTTCATAGTACTCTTTTTATTTCTGTAGAATTGGTAGTAATATCATTTTCATTTCTTATTTTAGTAATTTGAGTCTCTTTTTCTTAGTCCATCTAGCAAAAGATATGTCGATTTTGCTAATCTTTTTGAAGAATGAACTTTTGGTTCCATTGGGTGTGTGTGTGTGTACGTGTGTGTATCTATTTATATCTTGCTTTTCTAGCTTTTCTATTTTTCATGCTCTGTTCTAATCTTTATTTTCTTTCTGCTAACTTTAGGTTTAGTTGATTCTTTTTTTCTTAAGGTATAAAGTTAGGTTATTTGGAATCTTTCTTCTTCCCTAGTGTGTTTACAGCTATGACTTCCCCTCTTAGCACTGCTTTTATTGTATCAGATAAGTTTTTATATGTTGTGTTTTCACTTTCATTTGTCTCGTTATTTTCCAATTTCACTTGATTTTTGTCTTTGACACAGTGGTTTTTTTAAAGAGTGTGATGTTTAATTTCCACACATTTGAATTTTCCAGTTCTCCTTCTATTTCTAGTTTCATCCCATTGTAATTGAAATCATACAAACTGTTCTTGTCATCTTTTTAAATTTATTAACACTTGTTTTATGTGTGCCCAATATATAATCTCTCCTGTATAATACTTTAGTCTCTCTGCCATTCAGATTCTGTTTGGTCAGTTGTCCCAATAATGTCCTTTATAGCATTTTTTTTCTTCCATTAAAGGATCCACTTGGGGATCACATATTGCATTTAGTTGTCCTGTCCTATTAATCTTCCTTTAATCTGCAACAGCTCTTCAGACTTTGTTATGATACTGACATTTTTGAAGGCTACAAAACAAATTATTAGATTGTTCCTCAGTTGTGTTTATCTCATGTTTCCTCATGATTAGATTCAGATAAGGTATCCCAGTGTGTCTACTACATAAGTGATGTATCCTGTACAGATGATCACATCTAGAGACAAGCGATGTCCATCTGCCCTTCACTGGTGATATATGATCGCTGTTCAAGGTGTTGTCTGGTTTCTCTGCTGTGTAGTTATTGTTTTTTCTTTTGTAACTGATTAATACTTGTTGGGAGATAGAGACCATGCCAGGATGCTACTCGACATTATATGACAAATACCAATTTTTACAAAATTGGTATTTACCAGCTCTACCATTTGCTTCATATCAGTTGGCATTCTACCCTAAGGAAGAACCCTGCTTCCTTGGGCATTTGTTTATTTCGTGGATTTGTTATTAAGTGGGTTTCTGGATTTCTTGTTCTACTCAGGTGTTTCTAATCCATTACTAGCATTATTTGTTTTCATGCTCAAATGGTCCTCACTTAGCCAGTGGGAGTCCCTTCAAGCTGGCTTCTATGCTCTTTTGATAGGAGAACCACTGTGAAATGTGTACTTTATGGGTAGTGTATCTTAGTTCTTGAACTTTTTTCTACCCCAAAGTCATGAAGATCATTTCTCTTTTCTAAAAGCTTTATTATTTTACCTTTTACATTTACGTTTCAATCTAGTTGGAATTGAAGTTTACACATAATATGAAATAGAGGTTAGTTTCATTTTTTTCGTACAGTTACCTACTTGACTGAGAGGCTTTTATTGAAAAGCGCATCCTTTCCTACTCTGTATTGCCACCTGTATCATGAATCAAGCGTCCATATATCAATATTTCACTGAGCTCTTTTGGGATCTGTTCACTTATCTCTGCACCAGCACCACACTGTCTTCATGACAGGGGCTGTATGACAAATACTGAGAGTTGGTACAGCAAGTTGTCCCTCCTTATTCTTCTTCAAGTGGTATGGGATATTCTTGGCTTTTTGCAGTTCCACTTTTTTTTTTTTTTTTTACGACTTTGAGATATAATTCTATGATGAACTGCACATATTTAAGTTGTGTAGTTTGAGTTTGACACATGTATACAACTGCGAAGCCATAACCACAATTAAGATAAGGAACATAACCAACCCCCCTCCAAAGATTTCCTCATATATCTTTGTAATCCATCCTTCCCTCCCTCTTGACCCTGTCTTCAGGTAACCATTCATCTGCTTCCTATCACAATAAACTAATTTGCATTTTCTAGAATGTTATATAAAGAGAATCATTCAAAATGACATTTTCTATGTATAAAACACATACAAAAAGTATATACTTTTCTTTTTTGGTGGGTGGTGGGATGGGTGGGTCCTTTCACTTGGGATAATTATTTTGAGATTTCACATGTTGATTGGACTGGGTTATTTCCTGGTTTTTGACTGTTACAGATAATGCTATTGTGAACATTTGTTTATGGGTCTGTGTGGAGTGGGGAAGAAAGACCTTTCTAGCTAGACCTTTCTAGCAGGGTTCCAAGCCAAGGATCCATAAAATAGACTGATAAAACACACATATTAGTCTAAGGACTAACTTCCTCAGTATATAAAAATAAGTATCCAATAGAAAAGTGGACAAAGAAAATGAACAGTGAGCTGCCAGAGATGACTGTAGTAAGATATTGACTGTGGAGTTGCTTGTTATAGCAAAATACTAGAAATAACCTAAAGGACCATCCGTAGGTGACTATTAAATTATTATACATATCCTACTGTCCTGATTCAGAATGGTCGTCAAGAAGTTTTAGGACACTGTGCTGGAAAGAAAATAAGAGGACAATATTATTAAATATTACTATTTAATGATAAATATTAATGCTCACATATGCATGGATGTCTTGCAAGGAGAGAAACTGACAGTGGTTGCCTTTGGGGAGGGAAATTGGAGGCCTGGAAATAAGGGCTTGGATATAGACCTACATTCTACTGTATCTCCTATTCTTTTGTAATGTTTTATGAAATGCTTTTATGTTTAAAAACTAAAAATTAAATGTCACCCTCTTAAAACCCCAAAGCATTGATTGTCATGGTCTCCAAATGGCTTAAGGTGGCTGGTTAATTTTAGGTAAACTATATATGCTGTCACAGTGACTCAATTTCCCCATTTATAAATGGGGGTGATAATAGGGTGAAAATAGGCTTACTTACACAATCCCATGAAGTGCTTTAGAAAAATGCTTGGTGCACAGCAATCTCTGAATAAGGGCTCCCAGTTAAGGTGTTTACAGATGAATGACCTGCAGCGTTAGGCATGCTGCAAATCCTTTTGCTGAGACAGAACCATACGGTGGAAATTTTCTTAGTAGACAGTGAGGCAGGGAAACCTTGGGTCTTTAGTTTGGATAGGTATCTTTGAGTAGCATCCTAACCTGGTTCTGTCACATCACTAACTTCTCTGCATTTGTCTTGGCAGTGTCAACTCTAAGGTGCCTGAGATTGATCCTTCTGTAATTCTAATTTCAGGACACTTCCTACCTGTTCATCACTGGCCCGGATGTTGTGAAGTCTGTCACCAATGAGGATGTTACTCAGGAGGAGCTTGGTGGTGCCAGGACCCATACCACCATGTCAGGTTAGAGGCCTTGAGGCTCACCTTACTGTTTTTAACCATTGAGAAGTGGACACTCCCAAAGAGAATAGTGACAATCTTTTATAAATATCATTTAATCGGTCGAATTCGAGAGGACTGTAGTATGGTATATTTACTACAGATACAATAATAAAGATAGATTTAGTAGCTCAAATTTGTTAAACGAAACAAAAACAGGCTACTACTAAAGCTTTGATAGTCTTTAAAATTTTAAAACTAACTGAAATGGTGGTTACAAGAGATATATATAAATATATGTATATATGAACACATGTAAGTACATATATACACATACATATACACATGTAAATACATATGTATACATATATAAATACACACACTGTTGAACCTTTAAAAAAAAATGCTATATTGTGACTTTCTTTTAATCCAAAGTTGAGGTATGTCTTAGATGGTGGTATTACCAATTGCCCTTGGCCAGGTACAGTCATAATGTGATGGTCATGGCCCACATTTTTACAAACTTGGTCATAGCTTTTCATCTTTTCGAGGTTATGTGCCACACGTGCAGATTTCAAAATGTGTAAAGATTATTCTGTTCTTTGGACTGAAACAAAGGTTCCTCTTACACAGAGGCCTAGAATTGGGAGTGGGGCATGAATCTGACATTAATGAAGACTTTGTTGTTGGAGTAGTGAGGGAATTCCATATATTTTTGGAAAAAGACATCAGGTTGTGAAAGGATTGTCTATGACGAAATAAACAGTGTAAGTGAAGGCAGGAGAAATTGCTTCTTTGAAAGATTTCAAAGCGATGAGAAGCTGCTGTGACCAATTTACACACTTTAGTGTACTGTGGTTAAGGCATTAGATCATCACTTAGATGTCAGCATTTCTTTCTTAGTAAGTTATATCTCTCTTACATGTGTGAAGTCTTCCATTTGATGAATTTTTTTTTTTTTTAAAGAGATGGCGGGGAGGGGCAGAGGGAGTGGAAGAGAGGGAATCTTAAGCAGGCTCCATGCACAGTGCAGAGCCCGACCCAGGGCTTGATCTCAAGACCACGAGATCATGACCTGAGGCGAAATCAAGAGTTGGATGGTTAACTGACTGAGCCACCCAGGTGCCCTGATTTTTTTTTTTTTTAAGTCAGAGCTCTTGACTCCTCCCACCCACCAAAGTTGTTCCTTTTCCACCTCAGGTTGGCATCAGCTTTGACTTATTCCTTGCCCTCAGCTCTGCTCTCAGTTCCGTCTTCAGCATACAGCTAGAAGGAGAACTTCTCCTTGCTACTGCCCCACAGTTGGTCCTCACACCCTTGTCTCAGGGTTTAATTGGCCACAGTTTTTCTTTGTACTGGGATCTAAAATAATGTTGAATATTGGTGACATCTGATGTATTTAGCTGTATCTCCAAAGCAAGGCCTAAATGGAGCTCTATACATCTTTTTCCTTGGTTTTAAAACAGCTTTATTGAGATATAATTTACATATTATACATGAGACATACTCATTTAAAGTATACAAGTCAATGATTTTTATGTATTCAGTGTTTTTTCAGTTATCACCATAATTTTAGAACTTTTCATCATCCTCAAAAAGCCTCGCATCCATTAGCGTTTGCTCCCCATTTCCCCCCCAAACAGTCTACCTCTAGGCAGTCACTGATCTACCTTCTGTTTCTGTGGATTTGTCTATTCTGAATATATATGGAACGGAAATAAATGGAGTCCTGCGATATATGGTCTTTTGTGAGTGGTTTCTTGTCCTTAGCATACCATTTTTAAGGTTAATCCATGTTGCAGCATGGATAATATTTCCACATAGAACTCTACCACAGTTTATGTATTCATTGATCAGTTGAACATTTGAATTGTTTCCGCTTTTTGGCTGTCATGAATATGCTGCTGTAAACATTCTTGTGCAAGTTTTGTGTGACAGTTTTTTGTTTTCTTTGGCTATATACCTAGGAGTGGAATTTGGGTCAAATGGTAACTCTCACTTTTTGAGGAACAGCCATGCCGTCCTTCAAGGCGGCTGCACCAATTTTTAAGTATTTCTTGAATAAAAGAATTCTGTGTTGAGCACGAAACATTTTATTCAGCGGATGTTCATTGTGTGCCTGTGTGTCAAACATTGTTCTATGTGCTGGGAAAACCTTTGTGAAAGAAAAAAGACCCCTGCCTCTGTGGAGCTTATGTTTTAGCACAGGAGATGCACCATAAACAACCTGATAAATAAGGACATTGTGCAATATGTTAGAAGGTAATCTGTGTTATTGAAAAAGTAGAACAGGGTAAAGGGGGCCTGGGATTGTTGTGGTTTGAAATAGGGTAAGAGCAGGCCTCACTATGAGGGTAGCAGTCGAGCAGATCTGGTGTTAACGACATGAACGTCTAGGGGAGAAACAGTGTAAGGCGGAGGGAGTAGCCGATGCAAAGGCCCTGAGGAGGGAGGGTGGCTGGCATGTTCAGTGAACATCAAGGAGGGTGGTTGGAGACGTGACATAAATCTGGCTTAAAAAGCTCAGTTTGGCTGCTGAGTAGAAAAGAGGCGGTAGGGGAAACGGTGGAAGTAGGGAGTCTGGGAGAGAGTTTCCGGCCCTACTTTCTCTGTCGTGTCTGGGGCGTTTGGCGGTTCTGTGATTTCAGAGTGTTCTTGAATGATGTCTTCGTTCCTCACTAGGGCCAGGTGGTTCCCCTCCTTGCCCTCCACCATTCCTGAATACCATGACATTATGTGCCGGCCATTAGTCTTTTCTTTTTTTATTTTTCAGCTTTATTGAAAGCTAAGTGACCTATAACTAGGTGTAATTATTGATGTGGGACTACAGTGGCTGAGACGGGCCTGGGCTCTCCCATGTTAGAACTGATACTCTAGGGGAGATGTCATGCGGGAAACAGGGAAATGGACAGACAGGTGTTGCAGGGAAGGGTGTGAAGAAAACTCACACAGGATGGGGATGGCACATGAGGGCCATGGGGAATAAAGAAAGACGTGACCCTGCCGAGATGTGGGTGCAGAGCCAAGGGAACAGGCTGCACAAACTGCAGGTCAGCCTGAAGGTGGGGGGTCTGTGGTGTCCCATCCTCGCAGAGCTGTTGGCACAGTCTCCTGCAGACATGCCCTCGGACGGACAGGTGGATGTGGAGCAGCATCTTTGGGCTCACAGGTGGCCAGGCCCATTATAGCCTCTCTGTTTTCTCAGGTGTTGCCCACAGAGCTTTTGAAAATGATGTTGATGCCTTGTGTAATCTCCGGGAGTTCTTCAACTACCTGCCCCTCAGCAATCAGGACCCAGCTCCCATCTGCGAATGCCATGATCCCAGGTGAGTTGCAGGAGACAGCACTGACTCTCATTTTGCAGGTTGGCTTGCCCTTTTCTGGCTCCTCTGCCCTGGCAGGACCTCCAGGGTCCACCCTATGGGGCAGCTTGGAGTAGACTGTGGAGTGGAGCCAGCAAGGCGCTCAGGTGTTGGCATGTGGTGGCATGTCTGAATATAGGCGCAAAGAAAAATTTTATTTCTATTCACTTTTTTTCCTCTCTGTAATATCTGATCAATAGGGGCGCATGGGTGGCTCAGTCGTTAAGCGTCTGCCTTCGGCTCAGGTCATGATCCCAGGGTCCTGGGATCGAGCCCTGCATGGGGCTCCCTGCTCAGTGGAAAGCCTGCTTCTCCCTCTCCCACTCCCCCTGCTTGTGTTCCCTCTCTCGTTGTTGCTCTGTCAAAGAAATCTTAAAAAAAAAAAAAAAAAAAAATCTGATCAATAGCTTGGGAGTAAACAGTGCCCACCCCCCCCCATTGACGTCTATGAGTCTTGATTTGTCCAGAATTGGAAATGGAAATATTTTTTGTTTTAACGTGAAACATGAAATGGTGCAGACAGCATGCCCTTTAGGAAATGTGCCTGTACACCCCTGCCTGTGGCAGTCCAGGGGAAGGGTGAATTGCTGGCCACCTAGTGAAGACTTTCTCTCCTTCTTGCTATTGGGGCCACTGCCTGATACGGGGGGCACCACTGAGAAAGCCAGAGGTTCACTTGGGGAACTATTGCTTCAGATCTCTGGCTGCTTTCTCTCCATTTTGTTTCCACTCTGAGGTGCAAACTTCAGACTCAAACTAGTTCAAACTCACTTGGCCTGGACTTCGTTTTGCAGAAGGAATTTAGAATTCTAGCTCACAGGAAGAAGCCATTTTTAGACACTGCTCTGTGGGGTGGACCTGGGCTCTTAACCTGCCTCAGCCCCACTCCTCAGAGGACCTAACCAGTGGCATATTATGTGTAGTCACAAAATGGAGGTTGGTCACAGGCCCAGAGTGATGGGCACAGCCTCCTTTTCTGAGAATCTGTCCTATTTGGGGTTCTTGAAAAGTTTAGGACATCATTTGAAGGTATTAGGGCCCAGAGGCCTAGGAATGACTAACTATCCTGCTTAGGCCCAGCCATATCTCCTTCCCATATGATCCCAGAGTAGCTGTATGTATAAGTAGCACATAAAAAGTAAGGGAGGACTTAATCCAGTGGGGCTCTGCTCCGATACCCTAGGGTAGAGTTCTCTGGAAAGTTGAGCTTGATGGGGCATGTGGCTTTACCAAGGCCAAACTTCAGCCCAGGTGTACACCTCAAGGCCAGAACAACCCCTGCCTGCCCACATGGGCCAGGAGGGGATGAGAGCATGTGGGAGAGGGGCAGGTTGCTGCCGAGTCCTCCTGTGGTGTGGGAGTGGGTCCTGGCGGGCCCCCTGCTCAGCCATGTAGATGCATGAGGAAGCAGAGAGCCATAAGCCTAGGTGACTGGTTAGTCCTCAGTGATTCTCCCTACCAGAGGGCCTGCAGTTTTTCTTTTCTTTCTTTTTTTTTTTTTTTAAGGAGGCTTGGCAGGTTTATTTTCCAATAGGGAATGTGAACCCACAGTGTTCAATAGCAGAACTCTGACTTTGCATTTCCAAGTCCTTGTTTCTTTATTTTTAATATCTCAGGAAGTGAGAGCAGGACTTGCTAGAACAGTGTCGTCTTCACTGCAATGTCCTGTAGTGCCCCACACTACAGGAGGTATTCAGAGAGGATAAATGATGGAACCACATTCAGGAGAATAAGCCCATTTTTCTCCCTGTAAGTCAAAACAAAGATCTTTTGCGTTACTATCAAACTCAGGTTCAGTTTGACATGGTGGTAAGAAAGGAATGCAACTTTCAGTATACTTCGCAAGCCCAGCAGGGACAGAATCCTCTCACTCCTCCCCACCCCCATGATATCTCCCCCATCCCCCAGCCACTGGCTCTTCCTTTGTTGATTGTGTTTCCTTCTTTTTCTATCCAAAGTGACCGTATGGTTCCAGAGCTTGACACAATTGTCCCCTTGGAATCGACCAAAGCCTACAACATGGTGGACATCATACACTCTGTAAGTGCCACATCTGCCAGTCTTCTGTGCTGGCTCAGCCACGTCCGTGGTCCTTGTGCTTTGGCGTAGGGAGGAAGGTCCAAACCCACAGGCTTTAACATTGGGCAACACGGGCAGAGCGTGTGGTGGGTGCAGGACCGGGGCCACCCAGTAGTGTGTTCTAGGAAGAGCTAGTGGCGGTAGCCAGCATACGGCTCTCCTGTCCTTGAAGGCTGGAGGGAGGAGGAGCCAATTGGACCAGTAGATTTCAGGGGTCTTCAGACAGCACGGAGAGGTGCATAGAGAAGGGTCCATGTCCCCAGAGTCTGGAGTTGAGGCCAGGGAGACTTTTTGTTAGGTACCACCTTTGGAACCCTTACGCTCAGTGGGCATTTGTTTCTCTAGAGAGATGGAGAGCAAAAGTACACGTGGCATGGGTAGTTTTAGGTCCAAAAAAAGGTTTTTGGTCCAAAGAAGGTAAAAATAGGGTAGGGTCTCTGTCATCAGCTCCCCTAATTCTTTTTTTTGCTCTTTGGAGCCCCAGCTGTGTGGGGGGCCTGTGGTTACTGGAGGAAAGCCCCAGAGCTCTACTCAAGCTGGGCTGGACGCTCAGTGTGCCTGTCTGACCTCCCCTCAGCACCTGTTCTTATTTTCTTTACTTCCTAAGGCTGGATATAACCCCTTCCATTTCTGCTCCCCACTCTGGTCAGATCACTTGGGCATTTCCTTCATGGAGAAAATTGATAGTATAAAGTTCCTTACTCCCTGTAGGTGACCATTTCTCCATCTCACCATCCTTCCATGTCTCCTCAGACTCAAAGAATGAGATGCTTCTACCTCGGCTTTTGACCATCCTTCCCCATCTGGTGTCTTGCTTTCTTGACCGGTTTGTGTAAATCTCTTAATTTCTTCTCCCTTTAACTCCTCCCTCTAGCAATAACTATATATAAACATGCATAGATTTTTTTTTTTTTGTGGTCTGCTTTTTAAGAAAAACAAAACCCCTCTTAACCCAAACCCCTCTTAACCCAGTTTAATTGCTGTCCGAATTCTCTCCCTTTTCATTTAAAGCCCTCTTGTCTCTTCTTTCCTCCCCACTGGAATCTGGCCTCTGGTTTTCTCTCTCTTGAATGACAGACCTGCTAATGACTTCTCTAGTTGCTAAGTCCAGGGGACTAAGGTATTAAATATAGTTACAGAGGTAACTGTTATGAAAAAATACTTTGAGTAACAAAAAAAAGTGTATTGAACGGATCAAATGCAATGCATCACATAGAGAAACAGAAGCCTGCCTCCCTGGTGATCTCACGCCAGTCACTCTTTCCACGCAAGCCTCTGAGGGAAAACCACCATCCTGACTTTTGACGGTGTAAATTAGTTTGTTTTTTTTTTAATCCATTGTATAAATGGAATCCTATGGTGTTCTGTGTCTTGCTTCTTTGACTCAACATTGTGTTTGTGAGATTTGTCCATGTTCTCATTGGTCTCTTTAGTCTCTTATATGAACAGACCACAGTTGATCTACTGTTGGTGGGCATTTGGGTAGTTTCTAGTTTGGGACTGTTATGAATATGTTGTGTAATTTGGTAAGTAAATTACACATTTCTCTTGGATCCATACCTTGGAGTGAAAGTACCACGTCATAGGGTGTGCATGTGTTTACTTTAGTAGATATTGCCAGAGGGGTTTCTAAGGGATTATGCCAGTTGGCACCCCCACCAGCAGCATCTAAGGGTTCCAGTTGCTTCACGTTCTGTTCAACACTCAGCCACTACCATGGTGCCTTCATTATTGAGAGTTTACAGGATGCTTTTACATCTGGTAGGAATAGTTCCTCCTTTTTTTTTTTTTCCCCTTATAATGTTCAGTTAGCCAGCATATAGTACATCGTAAGTTTTTGTTGTAGTGTTCAATGATTCATTAGTTGTATATAACACCTCGTGCTCATCACAACACGTGCCCTCCTTAATACCCATCACCCGGTTACTCCCAACCCCCTCCCTTCTGTAACCCTCAATTTGTTTCCCTTGATGACTATTTTTTCAGAGTTTCCTTGCCTAGTCTTGCTTGTTTGCTTTTCCATATGAATTCTAGAATCTGTTTGTCTTGTTTTGTGGGCGGTGGTGGTGGAAATAGGGAATCCTGTTGTTTTTATTGAGGTCCTGTTAAAATCATGCACTAATTTGGGATAATTAACATCCTTCTGTATCTGGAACAATCTAAAAACATAGGTTGCATTTTTACTTGTTAAAGTGTACTTTTTTCCCCCTTGAGGATTCTTTTAAAGATTTCCTTGTATAGGTTGTTCATATTTTTTAAGTTTATTCCTAAGTATCTTTTTATTGTAAAGAGAGTGTTTTCTATCTTCTAAAGATTTTTTTAGGTGTATTTAAGTTACTGATTCTGCTATCAGTTTTCCATCCTATTGCCTATTAAGTTCTCATTATTTGTAAAAGTTTTTTACTGTTAATTTTTTGGAGGTTTTGAAGTGCAATAGTATACTATCTACATGAATATAGTTTTTTATTTTTTTATTTTAAAATTTATTTATTTGACAGAGAGGGAGAGGAAGCAGCAGACTCCCCGCTGAGCAGGGAGCCTGATGTGGGGCTTGATCCCATGGGATCATGGGACCTGAGTCCATGACCTGGGACCATGACCTGAGTCGAAGGCAGATGCTTAATCGACTGAGCCACCCAGGTGCCCCTGAATATAGCTTTTTAAATTAAGTTTTTAATTTTAATTCCAATAAAGTTAACATATGGTGTTATATTAGTTTCAGGTATACAGTATAGTCATTCAGTAGTTCCGTATGTCACCGGTACTCATCACAAGTGCACTCCTTAATCTCCACCACCTATTTCACTCATTCCCCACCCACCTCTCCTCTAGTAACCATCAGTTTCTTCTCTATAGTTAACAGTCCTTTTCTTGGCGCTTCTCTCTCTCTCATTTTCCCTTTGCTCATTTGTTTTGTTCCTTAAATTCCACATGTGAGTGAAATTATATGGTATTTGTCTTTCTCTGACTTATTTTTCTTATTGTTATACTCTGTAGCCATCCATGTTGTTGCAAATGACAAGATTCCATTCATCAATCGACAGACACTTGTAAATAGTGCTGCTGTAAACATAGGGGTGCATGTATCCCTTTGAATTAGTGTTTTTGTATTTTGGGAGTAAATACCCAGTAGTGTGATTACTGGATTGTAGGGTAGTTCTATTTTTAACTTTTTGAGGAACCTCTATAGCATTTTCCACAGTGACTGTACCAGTTTGCATTCCTATCAGTAGTGCAGGAGGATTCCTTTTTCTCCACATCCTTACCAACACTTGTTGTTTCTTGTGTTGTTTTTAATTATGTTCAGTTAGCCACTGTTTAGTACATCATTAGTTTTTGATGTAGTGTTCAATGATTCATTAGTTACGTATAACACCCAGTGCTCATCACAACATGTGCCCTCCTTAATACCCATCACCCTGTTACCCTTGCCCTCCCCAACCTGAGACCCCCAGTTCATTTCCCAGGGTCCATAGTCTCTCATGGTTCATCTACCTCCCTGATTCCTCCCCCTTCAGATTTTCCTCCCTTCCCTTATGGTCCTCCGTGCTATTGCTTATGTTCCACATATGAGTGAAACCATATGATAATTGTCTTTATCTGCTTGACTTACTTCACTTAGCATAATCCCCTCCAGTTCCATTCATGTTGATGCAAATGGTGGGTATTCATCCTTTCTGATGGCTGAGTAATATTCCATTGTATACACGGACCACATCTTTATCCATTCATCTGTTGAAGGGCATCTTGGCTCCTTCCACAGTTTGGCTATTGTGGACATTGCTGCTATGAACATTGGGGTTCATGTGCCCCTTCTTTTCACTACATCTGTATCTGGTGTTGATTTTAGCCATTCTGACAGGTGTGAGAGGATATCTCATTGTAGTTTTGATTTGTATTTCCCGATGATTACTGATGTTGGGCATCTTCATGTGTCTGTTTTCCATCTGGATGTCTTCTTGGTGAAATGTCTGTTCATGTCTTCTGCCCATTTTTGATTGGATTATTTGTTTTGGGGGTATTGAGTTGTCTAAGTTCTTTATATCATTTGGGTACTTACCCTTAATCAGATTGGTCGTTAGCAAATATCTTCTCCCATTCTGTAGGTTGCCTTTAGTTTTGTTGGTGGTTTCCCTTGCTATGCAGAAGCCTTTTATTTTTATGAAGTCCCAATAGTTTATTTTTGCTTTTGTTTCCTTTGCTCAGGAGACCTATTTAGAAAAATGTTGCTATGGCCAATGTCAGAGACATTATTGCCTGTGCTTTTCTAGGAATTTTTATGGTTTCCATTCTTACATTTAGGTCTTTTATCCATTTGAGTTTATTTTTGTGTATGGTGAAAGAAATAGTCTTTTTTTTTTTTTTTTTTAACATAGGCTCCACACCCAGCAGGGAGCCCAATGCGGAGCTTGAAATCACGACCCTGAAATCAAGACCTGAGCTGAAATCAAGAGTCGGATGCTTAACCGACTGAGCCACCTAGGTGCCCCAAGAAAGTAGTCATTGCTTTGCATGTAGCTGTCCACTTTTCCCAATGCCATTTGTTGAAGAGACTTTTTCACATTGCATATTCATTCCTCCTATATCAAAGATTAACTGGGCGCCTGGGTGGCTCAGTTGGTTAAGCGACTGCCTTCGGCTCAGGTCATGATCCTGGAGTCCCTGGATCAAGTCCTGCATTGGGCTCCCTGCTCGGCAGGGAGTCTGCTTCTCCCTCTGACCCTCCCCCCATCTCATGTGCTTTCTCTCTCTCACATAAATAAATAAATAAAATCTTTAAAAAAAAAAAAAAAAGATTAACTGACCATATTGTGGGTTTATTTCTGAGTTTTCTATTCTGCTCCATTGATCTATGTGTTTTATTTTTATGCCAGTACCATACTATCAGTGGCATTATGATAACTTTGTAATATAACTTGGTATGGAATGGTGGTATCTCCAGTTTGTTTTTTGAGATTGCT